TTTCAAAGTTTTATTGATAAACAGATAGCAATGAGACAGTTTCAAATCCAATCAGAAGTACAGTTTCAATCAAATATTTTTCTTAAGAATAATGTTTTTCATCAGGTTTTGTCATGAAACTCAGATGCTATTGTAAAGTTGAAAAATTTATCCATTTACTTTAATAACTTTTATAGTGTCACAGGTAAAAATTGATGGGAATGTATAAAGAAATGTTACTATTTCCTTTATTAATTTTTTGATTATAATAATTGAAACATGTATATATACTTTACAGATAATATAGATTTCCTTTGAATTTTGAGTTATTTCCAAAATAATTTTTGGTTACTTCTGTGATCCCAAGTCTTCAAATTTTAAATAATATTTGTCTTACAGGATTTTATATGCAACCACATAGGAAAGTTACTTTGCTGAGTAAATATGAGTTTGTAACTCTAGGAGGCTAAGAGATTTTTGGGCCTTCCCCCTCCTGGAGAACTAAGTTAATATTTGTTAAACTGCCTTATATAAAAATCTGTATATGTACAAAATCTTCTGTTTTGAGAGGCTTATTTACATGTAGACACCAGCTGTAAATTATTAGTACTAAATTCATATGCTTTACATGCAAAGTACATTTCTTAAAGACTATTTATGGTAATTACTTTTCAATCTCCTTCTTACATGATAAAGAATATCTGATTAGAGTTTTCTAAAGTATTTTTCTAAATAATTATTAAGCAAGGATGTTTAGTAAGCTAGTGGTACAGAATAACCATTGCAGAAAGTAATACTAACCTCTCAATTTCATGAATCACTTATAAATTACTAGTTAATTTTTTATGGCACAAATAACTTATCAGTAGAGCATTTTTTTTGTTAAAAACTTTTATTTATTTTTTTGGTGCAGTACTGTGGTGCTGGCTCAGAAGTACACCCACTCCCTTTTTAATTTTTTTTCTTTTCTTTCTTTTTTTTTTTTTGAGACAGGATCTTACCAAGTTGCTAAGTTGCCCAGGCTGAATTTGAACCCACAGTCCTCATATCTCAGCCTCCCCAAATGCCATCATGCCCAGATTAAAAAACATTCTTAAGAATAAAGTCTATCTAATTATTAAAATTGGCTCTCTTCCAGATGAATACAAGGGCTTTAGAATAATTTCATGGTACAGAAGTTGCTTTCTTCACAAAAGTGGTAGAAACTACATCAGAGCATTAGCTTTCCTTTTATAAAGACTAGATCAGAGAATTCAGCAATGCAGATATTCAAAAAGTAATCCTATCAGTTGATTTCTGATTTCTTGCCTCTACTGTTTGTTTAGATTATCACTCCTGAAATTGATGGACTAGGGAGATAGCTCAGTAGAATAAGTTCTTGCCTGGCAAGCACAAGATCCTGAGT